TTTTTTTCCTTTTTTCTATTTGAAAAGAAAAAGCAAAATGTTACAAATTAATAAAAAAAAAATTTTCCGCTTTTTTTTCTTTTTCCTCTTTCGAAAAAATAATTTTCTATACTTTCATACATATTGTTAATATTTTATTTGGTTTTATTATTATTATTATTATCATCATCATCATCATCATCATCATTATTATTATGACAAACGTGGGCATTAATTTTTTAATTATTAACAAATTTAAAAAACTCAAAAATTTGATAAAAAAAAAAAAAATAAACGGTTGACAACTAAGAAGAAAAAAGGCATTAAAAATTTTATTATTATTAGTTTTTTAAAAAAATGATAATAATAATAATAATCGGTAGTAAAATAATAATAATAATAATAATAATAATAATGATAATAAAAATTTTTTAAAATTGGATTATTTTAGTTTTTTTTTTTTTTTTTTACATAGTAGGCGGCCTTTATAAATAAATAAACAAAACTAGTTTTCTTACATAAAATAAAAAAAAAAATAAATAAAATATAAAAAACTCGTCCAAAAGAGAGAGAGAGAGAGAGAGAGAGAGAGAGAGAGAGAGGGGGGGGGGAATGGAAAAGAGAAAAAGGGTAGAATTTTATTTAATCTTATTACGTAATAAAATTTTTAAAAAAAATGTCGGATTTAAATTATATCACATGATTATCATAAAGTACAAAATTTTTTTGCTTTAAAATCCGGTTCGAGAAATTATGTCAATTTAAAAAAAAAAAAAAACATCTTGTGGGGGTGGGGTGGGGGCGGAAGGGGGGCAAGTAACGTAAAATACAATCATAATTATTATTATCGTTATTTATTAAAACTTACATTTTTCGAATCCGCGTCGAGTGCGTCCCACATGGACGCGACAATTTTCGAAACTTCACCGAAACTTGCATTCGGATTTTGACCTTTGATTGCTGCCTGAGTATCTCGAAAGAAAAGAGCATAAGCCGAAACGGGCCTGGAAAGAAAAAAAAAGAAAGAATTAATAATAATGATAATAATAACAACGAGGATAACAATAATAATAATAATAATGACGACAACAACAATGATTGATAAAAAACGAAATTTCATCCGAGTTCAAAAAAAAAAATAATAATAATAATAATTTAAAAGAAAGAAAGAAAAAAAAGGAAATAATAATAATAAATAAATAAATAAATAAAAATTCAACGTGAACTTTGACTTTAATGATTTGACCTTTAACCCTTTTTTCTATTCTTTTCTTTACGAGAAATATATTTTAAAATAAGAAACAAAAAAAAAAAAAAATTTCTCAAGATCCAAACTATTTTATTTATTTATTTGTTTAACAAATGGTTTGAAAAAATTAAACGTTGAATTATTATTATTATTATTATTATTACTGATAAGGTTTTTTTTAATAAAATAAAATGATAAGAACGACGACGATAGGACGACGACAGGACGCCAACAGCAAAACAAAAATTTTCAAAGTTTACAATAAAAAAAAAATTTTTTTCATAATAAAAACAAAACCATTTTTTCTTTTACTTTCATTTTATTTTCATTATTATTATCATCATTATCATCATTATTATTATTATTATTAGATAAAAAAAAGGTCAACTTTAAGAGTAATGCCAACATTTTAAAGTTTTTTTATTATTTTCTATTTTTAAAATATTAAAAATAAAAATTGTAAATTCTTAAATTGCATTTTATTATTTCTACCTTTTATCATCGCGTTATCAATTTTATTCGTTTCTTACGTGACGAAAAAAGGGCGGGGGAAGGAGGAGGTGGTGGTGGAAGAGGAAAATAATAAGAAGAAGAAGATAAAAATGCAACCCCCCCCCCAAAAAAAAAATGCAGCAGTGCAAAGAAAAACAAACAAACAAACAAATCGACTTTTATATAATAATAAAAACAACGAGAAAAGAAAATTTATCATTTTTATTTTTTTTTTGGGGGGCGGAAGGGACTGGAGGAAAAAAACGGGGAGGGGAGAAGGGAGGGAAAACAAACAAACAAACTCAGGTGTAATAAAAGTTTTTTTTTTTTTTGTATATTTTGTCATAGTTGTCGTTGTCGTTGTTGTTGTTACTTAAAAAAAAAAAACAATTAATTAATTTTTTTTTTCCTAACACCTGAGTTAAAAATAAAAACAAACTTGAAAGGGGAGGGGGTGGAAAAAAATTAAACAAAAAAATTTTTTGTGGGGGCTAGGGATAGGGAGAAGGGGAGGGGAGCAAGTAAAAATAAAAAAAGTTTTATTAAATTCGTGTTTTTCAAAAAAAAAAAAAAAAAAAAAAAAAAAAAAAAACGTGAAAAAGGTTTGTCCAAATTAATTTACATTAATTATTACGTTATTAATTTTTCCTTTTTTTTTTTTTTTTTTAATTTCCAAAAAAAAAAAAATTAAAAACAAAAAAAAAAAACAAGAGGGGGGAAAAACCCCCAAAAAATTTTTCTTTCCAAACTTTCGGGGGGGGGGGGTAAAAATAATAATAATAATAATAATAATAATAATAATAATAATAATAATAATAATAATAATAATAAATTTTCGTTCCAAAAACGTTTTTCCAAGCGCGCACAAAAAAAATTCCAATCCCGGTTGTGGTTGTTGTTATTGTCCTTTCTTTTTATGGAAAATCAATTTTACAAAATTACGTCATACGTTGTAAGTGATTGTTGTTTGTTGTTGTTGTTGTCGTTTTTGAAAGTAATTTTATAAAATTCGTACAAAAAAATAAATAATATTTTCTTTTTTTTAAAAAGTAAAAACTTATACAAATCGAACGACTTAAACGTCACGTGATTAATTAATTATTTTTATTATTAATAAACTTTTACGCGATTTTATTAATTAATAAATTAATTAATTATTTCGAAAGAAAATTAAAAATATCTTTATTTATTTATTAAATATTAAAAAAAATAAAAAAAAATAAAGGAAAAAAAAAACCTAAAAAAACATAAAAATGAAAAAAATAAAAATAACGATCTGCCCGAGCTGGCTATAAAACGAGTTCGCCATTTTCTCTCTCTCTCTCTCTCTTTTTCTCTTTTTTCTCTTTTTTTTTTCATTTTTTTCCCTCGTTTTTTTTTTTTTCATTTTATTTCTAAATAAATTACAAAAAAAAAAAAGAAAATTTTTTTTCTTTTTTTTTTTTTTAAAGCAATTTTGTAACGAATCCAGTTTTTCATTATTATTATTATTATTTTTTTTTTTTTAATGTTAGAATAGAAAGAAAGAAAAAAAAATTCTTTTTTTTATTCAAAAAATTTTTATGTAATAAATTAACTTAAGAATATTATGCACACACAAAAAAAAATTTTTTTTTTCCTCCTTTACTTTTTTTTTTTGGGGGGGAAGAAGAGGGGAAAGGGGGGGGGGGAGGTTTCATTTTTTTATACGAATTTAATTCTCTATTATCATCATCATTTCTCTTACATTTCCAAAAAAAATCATTTCAATTTAAAAAAAAAAGGAAAACAAAGAGAAAATCAAAATTTCATCGAAACAATCTCAATGTTTTTTTTTGAAATTTAAATTTAAATTTATAAACATTTTCGCAATTTTTAATTGGTTCAACCCGAAAAAAATAAAATAAAAAACCTGAATATATAACATTTTAAATAATAATAATAATAATAATAATAATAATAATAATAATAATAATAATAATGATAAAGTACCCGTGCTCGCGAGCCTCGCCCAAATTTCATTTCTCTTTCGAATTTTTTTATTTTATTTTTTTTTTAAATTTAAAATTATTATTATTATTATTATTATTTCTCTCGTGTTTACGTCATTCGCGAAATAAATAAATAAACGGTTTTTTTTTTTTTTTTTTTAAAACTTTCTCTTTTCCAGTAGCAAAAAAAAATAATAATAATAATAATAAAATAAGGAATTTAAATATTAAAAAAAAAAAAATTTACTCGCCTTGACCTCGTTGTGTTTTTTTTTTTTAAATTAAATTAAATTAATAATAATAATAATGATGATAATATATGTATATATATAGGAAAATATAATATTGCAATTAATATTATTTACTTGCGTAATATATCTGCGGGGGGATTAACAGAAAACATATATCAAAAAATAACCCGGTAAAAAACAACAACAAGGAGAAAAAAAAGAATACCTGAAAAAAAAAAAATTCACTCCCACGAAATTTCTTTACCCGAAGCAACAAAAATTAAATTACACTTTCAACGTTTTTTTCTTAAATTATGTCTCAATAAATCAAAATTGCTCCCCTCTCCCCCTCCCCTTACCTCCCCACAAAATAATACAACCACGTCCAACTATTTATTATATTCGACGTCGATTATTAAAAAAATTAAAAAAAAATATATATTTTTTTTGTTTAATCGTTGGGTTAAAATTAATCATAGAGTAAAAAAAAAGAAAATTTAAAATTGGAAAGAAATCAACGTCGAGTTCATAGAGTAAGAAAACAAAACAAAACAAAGCAAAACAAAATGGCGGCGGTCGCGTTTCAAATTACAAATCATTTATTTATTTATTTTATTTATTTTTTTTTCTTCTTTCAAATAATTATTAATAAACGATTTAGGAAAAATTAATAATATTAATAATAATAATAAATAATAATAATGATAATAATAATGATAATAGTTTTAATTACGAGATGGAAATAAAAAATAAATAAATAAAAAAAATGAAGGAAAAAATCGTCGCGAAGTTGAAAACGTTAAAACGTTGCTGCTTTTCCTTCTGCTTCTGATTACGATTATTATTATTATTATTATATTCCTGTTGTTCCCATTACGTCATTTTTCATAAAACATTTTACGAAACAAAGCAAAAAAATTAAACAAATTAAACAAACATCGTAACTTTTAATAAAAATGAAAAATTCAAATAAATAATTTATTTATTTGAATTTTATTTAAATTAATTTTTTTTTTTTTAAGACTAAGCTGAAATTAATTAATTTTTTTTTTTATTTAAAAAAAACAACAAAATGTCGGAATAATAATAATAATAATAATACGATTTATTATATATTTTTACAAAAAAAAAAAAAACGCAAAAAAACGGGGCGATGGTAATTAATATTTATGGCGTCGTTTCTCCTTCTCCCTTTTCGTATAAATTACGACCGAAAAAAAAAAAAACAAAAAAAAAATTGAAATAAATAAAAAATCTTATTAAAAATCATGGGGTTGAAAAAAAAAAAAAACAAAAACACGTGAGAAAGAGAGAGAGGGGGAGAGAGAAAGGGGAGAAAGAAGGGGGTAAATTCGTTTTAATTATTTTTATATACGATATTATTCGTTTTAGAATTTAAAAAAAAAAAATTATTAATTATTATATGCAAAACTTTTATTACCGAAACTTTTGTTGTTTGTTCAACAAACGAAATAATAACTTGACAAACAAACAAACAAACAAAAATCTCAAATTTCAATTTAAGAAAACTTTTTTTAAAAAAAAAAAAAAACCAATTAAAAGTTAAAAAAAATGAAAAAAGACTTTTTTTGCCCTTTTTTTTTGTTAAATATTAAAACAGAAAAAGACTCAAAATGTCCGCGTATGAATCAAATGATAATAATGATGATAATAATAATGATGATGATGATGATGATGATGATGATAATAATAATAATAATAATAATAATAATAATACGTCAAAATATCAAAGAATATAATTGTTACATCGAACCTCTCACATTTGTTTTTTTTCTTCGATTTGAACATTTGTATTTAATTCATTTATTTAATTTTTTTTTTTATAAATGAAAAATCGTTTTAGTTCTCGAACAAACGACAATAACAACCACAATCATAACAATCATAACAACCGTTATGAAATATAAACATATGTTAAAGTTTAAACGGTTTTTTTTTTTTTTTTGTTACCTTACGACATGTTGGATATCATTATTCAATTCAACTTAAATAAGTTTAATATTAATCGAATAATAATAATAATAATAATAATAATCCGAGTGTTGTAATAAACACGCCCTAATAATTCGATATGTCGAAGAACAATCGAGAAAAATTAAATAAAATAAATAATCATAAAATTTCGGTATTTTCACCATGGAGGTACTCATGATTCCAGCGGGGCATTCATTTTTCACGGGAGGAACCGTAAAAATGGGATTTTTACTAAAACTTGTACCAAAAAAAATTTTAATTTCTAATGTGACATAATTGCGGGGGGTGCCAAAAAAAAAGAAATGAAAAATTTAATCATCCACCATCGTCATCACCATCAACAGCAACAGTAACAACAAAAACAACAACAATAACATCATTTCACAAAATCAATTATATATATATACGAATGCATTCCACGCATTCTATCGGCGTAAAACAAAATTAAAATATCCCTTTTTTTTTTAACTTTTTAACTTAAAAAATAAATTTTTTTTTTTTTTTTAATATATCATTATTACGCATATACATAATCGACAAAAATTAAAAATTTTGCAACTTTTTCCAATCGGTTATCGATTATCGATAAGTTATCAATAATAATAATAATAATAATAATAATAATTACAAA